CAGTCACCCCCTTTCCACAAAAACCGTTTTGTCAAAAATGGGAATAATAGGCGAGTGACATCTTATTCGATATGTCTTTCAATTCTTAGCCAACCCTATGCTTTGATAGGTTTTCATTAATTTCGAAATAGAAAGTGAAACTGAACAGACAAACTCACTTCATCAATTGTTTGAACTAGCACTATTGAGTTGCATAGACAGGTATGAACAAGCTTTTGTTTCATTCTTTACATTCTGAAGAATATCAATTATTACCTGGTAATTTGTTTCAGTGTCTTAGAAAGTCTTAGAGATGGCTTCATCTCTAAGACTTTCGATTCAACCATTCCTTTAGAAAAAAATCCAGTGGATGCAGATCGGTGGATCTGGGTGGCCATTTTGTAAAACGTATTATTTCAATTCATCGATGGCAGTTATTATCGGGGATTGTTGCACTGGTACTAATCAATATGGAGTAAGGCATGTTGGAAAACCACCCTATTTCGCAACAGTTGGTTCAATTGGATGATTTTGTTTTTGTTTGGCGAAACTTGACTTTTCAGCAAATTGGTATATCTTCCACCTTCTGGATACCTAAAATTTCTGCTGAAATAATATTTAGGTGTGGATTTGGCGTGCCGTAGTAGGATCTGAATAACTTCAATATCGAAAATTTTGACGATTCACTTGCTCATTCTGATAAAAAAGTCATTTATCCAAGAAACATTAGGGGTACACTGAAGCTGGATTACGGTTGACGCGTTTCTAAAGGATTTCACAAAATTCAGTCTCACTTCAATTCATGTATTATTTTCATTTCGTGAGGGTGGAATTTGTGTCATTCGAAGAAATCTTAAAACGATTGTACCATTCACCGTGATGGCTTAAGAAACTTAGTCAAAGACTGAATATTTTCCATCGAATCAACTTGCCTTAGAATTGCCTTATTTATTGACTATTTCTGAAAGTAATGCTGCATGTTATTAATGTTACTAATTGCTATGNAAAAAAATTTTCAATCGAAATTGATATTGAAAAAAACGATTATTTTGTTTTTTCTTAATTGATAGATTCAGCAACTACTGAACCGATTGAAAACATTATTTTTCTTTCAGAAAGTTTCATTATCAGAGAATTGGGATATTATATTTTCGAAAAACTAGATCTTTCTAATATATATTAGAAATAATTTCTCTTAGATTTCTTCGACTTCAGGGATGAGATGATTGACAAGTTTCTGCTGGGTTATTTCACCATATCAGTGCGTTCAATTCAAATTATATTCCATAATTTCAACTTCCATGTACGAACGAATTGAAAATGGAATGATGGATGTAGCCGTTACGATGTGGTAGAAGATCATGATGAAAAATAAAACTTTTTTGTTTTTTTACCACTTTTATTTGTAACTAACGTTACTGCAGTTTCGTCCTATGAAAACATACAATGAACTTCGTTTGAAAATGTTCTTATAGGACGAAAGACGGAAAAAAGTTTCATTTTTCATTTTTCACATTTCTCACAGTAGATACGTCAATAAAAATGTGAAAAATTCAGTATTATGTACAGTGAATACCAAAACATCTATATTTCGCTATAGTATATTGTACTCGTTTCATATAACAGATTTGCAAAAATTAACAGTAGAACAATGAAGAAATCTAAAAAATTTACCTTATTACCGAGTTCATTACACTATTGAAGTTAACTGAAAGGATTTCATTCCTGAAAATGAAAAAATTTTAATCAGTTTTAGTGAGATGGCCAAACATCATTTTTTTCTTGATTCAGCTCAAGTAAATGGTCAGGATACCATTCTTCAAATATTCTGCAAACCTCAGAATGAATTCTTGTCTTATCACTCATTCCAATCATTCAATAATATCCCAATTTATTGAATCTCAGATAGGCTCATTTTTGAAACAATTTACTTTTTTCAGTAAAAACGATTGATAACTACAAACTACTGACGACATCTAGCGAAATCATAGCTATGAATGGCCATGATTCCTCCTAGGTGGCTGGGAAAGTTAATAACATAGCTACCCAAAACACGGGGCTATAATCCAGTCATTTAAGCTTAAATTAGGTAAGAATCTCGGAATTCGAGATACCCAGCTGTAAGTCTGTAAATACTTATATATTGACACCCTAAAAGTTGTCTCAAAACCTACATATGGTAGGGTGTAAGCAACTATTAAATTTCAAGGTCAAAGGTCACAAAAATCGGTTTTTTGCGCTTTTTTTGGAAATATCTC